AATGAATGGATGCTTTGTTTCTGAATTGTGGGTTTTGTTTTTGTGTTTTGTTTTTTTTAATGCCCAACACACCCAAACTTAGTATACTTCTCACTTGACTATGACTTTTGTTTTCTCTGGTCAATACCTTTCTTTGTTTTGTCTTCTCGACACTCTAATGCAGTATTTATAGTGTCTTCTGGCATCCATTTTGGTTTTTACTTTTCCCTCTGTATTTGTAATGACCTTTTGCTCTCTTCATAAATAATATCCTTGATGCCATCCCACAGCTCTTATTGTCTTCAATCATTGGTGTTCAGTGATTCAACCTGTTCATGAGATGATTTTAAGAGATAGACTCAAGGGGAGCTCTGGTGGCCTAATGGTAAGGAGCTGCAACTACAATCCCAGAGGCACACAGTTCAAATCCACCAGATGCTCTGCCGGGGAAGGAGGGACAATCTCCTTCTGTACCAGTCAGATCTGATTTGACGGTACACACACAGAAAAGTAATAAAATAAAAAAAAAAATGAAAAAAAAGAGAAAGAGATAGACTCAAGAGCATCTTTTGGTTCTCATGAACGTGTTTTAATTTTCTTCAGCTTCAATTTAAATGTATGTGAATAATTGGTAGTCTTTTCCAAGATCAGCACCTGGCTGCCTGGTTTTGACTACTGATACAGAGTTTCTCCAAAGATTCTTTCTGTAGATGTAGTCAGTCTAATTCCTGTCCACTGCATCAGTGATGACCATGTGTAAAATCACCTTCTGTTTTTTTAAAGGTATTTGTTATGAATAAATCATTGAATTATTAAAATTAAATCATTCAATCTCTAGCCTCTCATTTCTATCACCAAAACTTGTACTTTGAAACAACTGTTCCTTCCTTATTGCCTCCAACATTTTCATTCCAATTACCAATTATCATTAATGCATCTTGATTGCATGTTTGGTCAATTTCAGACTGCAAAAGCTGGTAGAAATCCTCAATTTCCTCTTCTTTTGCTTTAGATGTTGGTGTATATGTTTAATAGTTATATTAAGAGGTCTTCCTTGTAGGACAGTATCCTATTTCCCATTACTCACAACCTACTTTAAGACATATCTTAAAATTGTCTTTTTAACTATAAATGCAGTACCATTCTTTCTCAGTTTTTCATTCTCAACATACAAGATCCATATGATTGCTTCAATGTGAATCCATGTTAATCCATTTCAGTTTATTAATTCTTCATGTGTTACACCTCCTGCCACAAGCATCATACCCCTGTGCACTAACCTGCTGCTCCCATGCCTTGTGCTCCAAAATTTTAAGGTGTCAACCTTGATTTATGGGCTCCTGTGTGTTGCAGGATCAGCTGAGTCACTTCCTGCCATACATGTCAATGAGTGAAGACTGGATGAGCTGTGGGAGGATATCAAGAATACCATCCATGAAGAATGCAAAAGGTCATTACAAAGACAGAGGAGGAAGAAAAAACCAAGATGGATGTAAGAAGAAACTCTGAATATTGCACTAGTGCACCAAGAAGCCAAAACAAAGGGAAGAAACTAAGATATTAAGGAGTTGAACAGAAGATTGCAAAGGGCAGCGTGGGAAGACAAAGTAAAGTATTACAATGAAATATGTACAAGAAGCTAGAGTCAGAAAATCAAAAGGGCTGAAAATGCTCAGCATTTCTTAAGCTGAAGGAACTGAAGAAAAAATTCAAACCTCTAGTTGCAATACTTAAGGATGCTTTGAGCAGAATATGGAATGATCCAGGAAGCATTAAAAGAAGATGGAACCAGTATACAGAGTCATTGTACCAAAAGCAATTGGTGGACCAGAAGAATTTTAAGAAACAACTTATGAGCAAGAACCTGTGGTGATGAAAGAGGAAGTTCAAGCTGCTCTGAAAGAATTGGCAAAAAACAAGGCCTCAGGAATTGATGGCATACCAATTGACATATTTCAACAAACAGATGCTGCACTGGATGTGCTCATCAAGTTGTGCCAAGAAATCTGGAAGACAACTACCTGGCCAATTGACTGAAAGAGATCTATATTTGCTCCCATTGCAAAGAAGGATGATCCAACAGAGTGTGGAATTTATCTAACAGTATCACTGATATCACATGGAAGCAAGATTCTGCTGAAGATTACACAAAAAGCACTGGAACAGCACATCAACAGAGTACTGCCTGAAGTGCTGGTTGCATTTAGAAGAGGCCATGGTACTAGGATATTATAGCTAATGTCATACGGATCTTGGTTGAAAGCAGAGAGTACCTGAGGAATGTCTATCTGTGTTTCATTGACTATACAAAGGCATTTGACTGTGTAGATCACAACAAACTGTGGCTGACTCTGAGAAGAATGGGAATCCCCATCAACAAACGAATGGCTAGAGAAGCTGTGGTATATTCGCACAATGGAATACTATGCTGCATTAAAAAACAAGGAACTCATGCAATATTATTCAA